CTTCGTTGAGAGAGTTTATTTCTTTTTTTTATTTTTTCTCTCTCTCTCTCTCTCTCTCTCTCTCTCTCTCTCTCTCTCTGTAGTCTCACAGGGGTGAAAGACTATCAATGAAACATATAAATAAATGCACGCTTCTATTTTCATGAGGATTAAAATCTTTTTCTTTTCTTATCATTTCTTTCATCTTCTCCTTTAGCCTCTTTTAAAAAAAAAAAAAACTAAAGGGTTGAGGAGTGATCTTCTATCTTTCCTCTCTTTTCCGTCTTTCATTACTGCAAAGATTTACCCATGATATATAACCCACGAACGATGTAGAACCCAACATTCTAAAATAATTCATTACATTATAGCACATTAAAAATAATTAAATGCATTTAAGTTACATCTTATCAAGTAACTCAAATATTTTTAAACAATATATTCAATTACTTTGAATTTTAAAAGAAATATATTTTTTGAAAAATGTACAAACAAAAAGCCTCCATACAACTTCCAAAATTATTACTTTCCTATAACAATTTACCGGTCCATTTTTAAAACAATCATAGCCGAACATACATGACATTAAACCATGATAGGGAATAATAAGAAGGCCGTGCTCTCGAGGATCCGTAAGTTTGAATCGGAACAACGGGCAAAATTTGAATTCGTGATCTTTAACCGTCGATCAAAACCATCTCTCGTTACAGCCATCCGATCCGCACTGAAGGAAACAAAAAGACGATTTTGAATCCCTTTCTTCGCCCTTCTTGCTCCTTCCACTCTCCTTGCACTCTTCCACCTCCAAAACCCTAGGTTTTTCCTTTTCTTCTTCAGCTTTTGGAAATACAAACTCACCTTAGATCGTCAGTTGGTCGGCATGCATGCGATCACTGAATCTGTCAGTGCGGCCCGGAGGACGACCAAATCCCAAGAATCGATGAACGAGCCCTTAGAGATAGATTCAAGCGGTTTTCGCGAGGTCCGTGAAACTGACGTTGGTCAGACCCAGGGTTTCGAGCTGCGAGAGGATCCAGACTTCTGGAAGGATCACAACGTCCAGGTATTAGAGGGTATCGGCTCAAGATGTCGTTTTGAGAGGAGCTTTTTTCGAAATCCCTTCAATTGGGGTTCCTGACCCGTATTTCCTTTTTAATTTCTTTTGTTCAGTAGGTGTATGTTCTATAGAATTAGTTCTTGGGAAGCTGGATTAGGCTTTCTCGCTTCTGAAGTTTTTCTCATTAGAATTACAATTGTTTTCTTTTGAGCTGAAAAAATAAGAGTTTTTATGCTAATTTTGCATCTGCTGCATTCAAATTAAGAAGAAACCTGAGCTGTTTAAAGGAAATGCATGAAGTTGGATATGCTTAGTGATTCATTTTCGTCTGATTTCTTGAATCCCTGTGGTCCTTACTTCATTATATGCTGATTCTTGCTCTGTTTATGTAGGTTATTATTCGTCTTCGTCCTCTCAATAGTGCAGAGATATCCCTTCAAGGACAAAATAGATGTATTAGACAAGACAGTTGTCAAACACTAACATGGATTGGACATCCAGAGTCTCGTTTTACGTTTGATCTTATTGCTGACGAACACATCAGCCAGGTAACGCTTTATTCTGTATTTAAGTTTGTACCCCATTAGCGTGTTTAATTTATTTTTATTTTGCTTCAGGAAAGATTGTTTAAAGTGGCTGGAGTGCCTATGGTGGAAAACTGTATGGCAGGTTACAATAGTTGCATGTTTGCATATGGTCAAGTAAGTTATGTTGTGAGCTGAATGTTTGATTTCTTGTATAAACTTTGTGGAAAATATTCCCTAATGAATTGCTGGTGTTCTCCTTTACTCCACACACACTCATTTTTACTTCTTAAGCTTAAAAAATTTGGTTAACAGTATTCAAGTAATACTGAATTTTAAGGGGTTGTCTGGTAATGGATTTAAGTTTGATTTGAATTAAATAATGACAGATAGAAAAAATGGAAACTTTAAAATTTTGGATTTAGTAAATCTGATTTCATTTTAATTTTTTTTAATTTTGCCTTGAATCCTGAATTTACTAAGTCCTGGCAGGATTTAGTAAATTCAGATGTGTAGAATTTACTAATTCCATTAGCAAGCCAACCACAAGAATTTCGAACAAGAATTATAGATTTTATTCTTACTCTAAATTTTAATTAGGCCATAACTCTGACCAATACAATGCTTTTTTCAGACTGGAAGTGGAAAAACTCACACTATGTTGGGAGATATAGGAGGAGGAATTCAAAGAAACAGTGCTAACTGTGGAATGACACCTCGTGTTTTTGAATATCTCTTTTCAAGAATACATAAGGCAAGCGGATTAGATTTGTTTTTTGGGAACTTTTTTCGTTTTCCGTTTTGTTTTTATTGTTTAATTTACATCTAATTTTTACAGGAAAAGGAGATCCAAAGTAATCAAAAGCTCCATTTCACGTGCAAATGCTCCTTTCTTGAAATATACAATGAGCAGATTTTAGATTTGCTGGATCCTTCCTCCATAAATTTGCAGGTATAACTATTAGTTTCATGACATCAATCTTTTCCGCTCTCCTTTGTTGCTTATCCAATAAAGTTGATGGCTTTTGATAATTATAAATTTTGCCTATTAACAAATTGTTTAGATGCTTTTATTTTTCATGTTTTGCGAAGGTCCCTAGGATAAAACTTTTTATATATTTTTTTCTATATACTATATTACTTAGGCAACATTTAATACCTTTAGTTGATGCAATATTTTAATAGAAAAAGAGACTTACTAATGAATTCAACATTGAACCTAATATATAGTAGTTATATTATGTAAGACATGAAATTATCTTCTAATGGTTCAATTTCTAGACACAAGTCCTCAACATTTGTAAATGGTTTTATGCCTGATTGCCACCTGGCAGAAATAATTAAGAAAATTAGCATCAATGTGCAAAAGTTGTCTCAAAACTTTTTTCATTTGTTCATTCTTTTTTCATTATGAACTCGAAACCAAGATTATTAATGTTTAGATTTAATTCAGATAAGGGAAGATGCAAGAAGAGGAGTTTATGTAGAAAATCTCAAGGAATATGAAGTTTCAAGTCCTAAAGACGTCATTCAACAGCTTATTCAGGTATGCTAGATTCAATGAGTTTGTTTATGAGCACAGTTAATTTCCAATTGATTGTTTCCAATTGATTTGCCCAACTTTGATTATCTCATGAATTTTGTTATGAAACTTTTGTAGCAGATTTTACACATCATCAGTGTCTTTAAAAATAGTTTCTTGCAGTTGATGATTGGTAACTAAATCAATGCAGGGCGCAGCTAATAGGAAGGTGGCTGCTACAAATATGAATCATGCTAGTAGCCGTTCTCATAGTGTTTTTACTTGTGTCATTGAAAGAAAGGTTTGAACTTTCTACACAAACAATTTAGTATTTTGTTCTACTAATTTAAAGCATTTGGTACGCTTTTGTGCTTATGGAGTATTAAGTATGCATATCCTTTTATAAGAAATTTGATTTATGCAGTGGGAGTTGCAAGGTGTTTCTCATCACAGATTTGCTAGGCTAAATCTGGTAGACCTTGCAGGATCTGAGAGGTGTGTTTTTCTGGTAGAATTTTTAGTAAACATGCCATTATTATATGCCTGTTCTCCTTTAGTTGGGCTTATTTATTTTGTGATATTATTTTAAATTAAAAGATACCTTACTTTAGTTATATTAAAAACTTTTTTCACGTAATTTTTGTACAAGAATGAGGGAAGTAGATCTGGACAAGCATTATATCAGTTATAATTGATGTTTCTAATTACATATTGCTTTAATGAAGGCAAAAAAGTTCTGGTGCTGAGGGCGATCGGCTCAAGGAAGCGACAAACATCAACAAGTCGCTTTCAACATTAGGGTTTGTACGATAGTTTATTGCATCTCTTCCAATATAACATAACGATGAACTTGTGAGATTTCTCTATACTATTTTCTTTATCGCTTCACTTTGATGCTAATAAACATTTAATTTGTTTATTATGAACCAGGCTTGTGATTATGAACCTCGTTAGCATCTCAAATAAGAGACAACTACATGTTCCTTATCGAGACTCCAAGCTTACATTTCTTCTACAAGTAAGATAAAAAATATCTATCTTAAATACTTTGTGAGTTATGTAATTCATTTCTAATCTAAAGAAACCTTTACAAACATAGGGTTGATGATGTACTAGCTTGCATTTTTTCTACAAGTAAGATAAAAAATATCTATCTTAAAAACTTTGTGAGTTATGTAATTCATTTCTAATCTAAAGAAACCTTTAAAAACATAGGGTTGATGATGTACTTGATTTTTGGTGTGGGTTACCATTTTTCGAGCATGGAGAGTTTTTCCTTTTTTATTGATAAGAATGACATAGCTTTAGAATTGTTTGGAGATAGAGAAACCCCTTGTGATCATTTTGTCTACTGCTGATGTTGGTAAAAACACTGATTTGAAAAGTATAAGGGATTTGACTTTGTTTGGGCATTCTTGAGGGTAACGGTCATGCCCAGTGATGATGAAACTGAATTAAGCTTTGTTATGAATAACCATTTTTAAGTAATTGTAGATAAAACCAATTTTCTTTTCAACCTGGACGAGGCCTTCTCATTTTTTTTCTGTTGACAGAATGCAGGATGCTTCCTTGTGTGCCTGTAGATCTATTTATCATTATTTATTACAATTAATAGTTTTCTTCTGGGCTACATAAAACCAAATATAGAGGAGACACGATCTCTTTGGGGATTCTAATGCTGTCTTTTGGCTTGGCACATCATTTTTTGTGTAGAGAGATTTATATATCAGGAAAATTTGAGTGAGATTCAGGATATTTTCATTCTATTTTCACTTTAGCAGAAGGAGCAGAATATTAAATGCTTTACCGACTTTGCTAAGGAGGAAAAATACATATTGTTTGATATTATCATATCAAAGTTTACTTTTGGATGGATTATAGTCATGAGAAAGGGCTATTCTTTTTTTCAAGAAGAGGAAGTATTTATCTCTTCTTGATTAGCCTTTGGAGTTATATAGTTCTACAGTTTGATTCTTTTGCTACGTTGTTGTTTTTATTTACTTTTTCTTTTTCTTTCTGTAAACTGTAATATTTTGTCTCCATTTTCTATTCATTTTAATGAGATAGGGCTTCCCATTTTTTTCAGTAAAATAAGTTTCATTATTTTAACAATAAATGTGGCCTTTCTGGTTTATTCCTAACTTTAAAATTGACATATATTTAAAAATACTACATGGAAAACTGCTAATCATGTTCGATCAAGCAATTTTTAATGGCATACGAAGTGTTTTAACTGGGGATTGAATTTCTAGAATCAGTAAAAAATGCCATCAGCATTTGACAGATGAATTCCATGGTGTGCTAGAGCTTTACTTTTTTAGGCTTCTTGTGGTAGAAAAAACCATGAATAATTTTTTTTTTCTTTTTTCCAATCATGATACATAGTTATGAATTTTAAATTTGAATAGACAAGCAATTTTTAGTCACGGAAACAGCAACCCCGCCCCCACTTTCATAAAGTGTTAAAATAATCCTTTGACTCTTTACTTGGGTCCAATTTAGTTCCAGAGTTTATAAAATTGTCAAATTAGTCCCAGACTTTTTAAATTGGGCTAAAATACTTCTCAGTTATGATTATTTCCCATATTAAAAGAGTTATAGACTTTAGAGCTAAAATGACTCCTTGCAAATAAGTAGATTTTAACACTTCTCTTCTCATTTTGTTTCTTAGGACTATTTTCAAACATTACAGGACTACTAACACCATAAACAGAAGTTATAGTATGCACTGTTTTATAAAGTGCTTTTCATTTCAATACAGGACTCCCTAGGTGGAAACTCCAAAACAATGATTATTGCAAATGTAAGCCCTTCCAATTGGTGAGTGATTCTTATCTATTCAAATATTTTTCGGATTGAGCAAGCAGTGTAATTTTCATGCCTGACTGGTTTAATATAACTTTTGCAGTTGTGCTTTGGAAACACTTAGCACATTGAAATTTGCACAACGTGCCAAGTTTATAAGAAATAACGTGAGTACTTTGAAATTCTATTTTCATCCTTTTATTTCTATGCGTAGAACATTATAAAAGCTTTTTTTACATGTATAGGCAATTGTAAACGAGGAAGCTTCGGGTGATGTGCTTGGTTTGCGATTGCAAATACAGCAGCTTAAGGTACTATAATGATAATTTTGCTAACTGTGAACTACATTTACATGTTCATCATCTTATGGAAACTAAGATTTTAAAATAGCAAATGTTAAGAATCATTTTTCATAACTGTTTCTATTGTAATTTGTGCCTAGCAACATTACAATGAGATTCTCTTACTGATAATAATTTGTCATTCTTGACTGAGCACAGAAAGAAGTGAATTGCTTGAGGGGATTGATTAATGGAGGATCTGATAGATTAGGAAGTGATAGCATTAATGCTTCTTCTCAAGACTCTCCAGGAATTTTAAAACTGAGTGGAAATCAAGCATTCAGCCCACTAACCTTTGATAAAAGATTATCACCGGTATGAATCCTTTTTAAGCATATTACGTAATGATCTTATTGAATTTATTATTTAGATAGATACGTAACTATCTAACAAAAATACCAGAGAAAAGAACGTGAAGCTGCCCTAGTTGCAGCTCTAAAGAGAATCCATGATAAAGAAGAGGAGCTGAAAGCACTGGCGGCTCAGAAAGAGGCTGCAGATCGGCTGGTAAGAATTAAGTTACAAGTCTCAAGTGATGTACACACGTTAAAAAAATATTGTTATATTCTCTTTTTTTTTGCCCTTTCACAATTTTTTAAAACTTCGAAGATTTATTTCGCTTAAATTATTCCTAGTGTAGACTTTTAGGATTTATAGAAATCTTTTCATCCATAGCTCTCTGTCTTCACTAAAAATTTGCATCAACTCTTAGGATGCTTTTGTATAGCTTGCTTGACATGTTGTCTGGAGTTTTCTTAACTTACAGGCGTGCTACATGTTCAAACTTTTATTGATCTCATTAAAGGTATTTTTTATTTTAGTTATTTGGGGGTATAGGTAATGTGGGTGTGGATGTTTAATATGATAGACTACCAGTAAGCAAAACCAAGCTAATGTCTTATGAGCTGACATTGTCTTACTTTATTGTTAGAAAGGCAATTAACAATGTAAAACCAATATAGATATATATATATATAGCAATCAAATAGTCAACTAAGTGAAGTATGAAATTTAGATGTCAAGGATAAAGCAATAATGCTGTTTAGAAGACTATTTATGCTGCAATGTTTAATTGGTAACAAAAGGAGAGTACAAGAAGAAGGGTTGTAGCATATATGTGCATGTGCACTTTGGTTGATATATCTTCTGAAGTTTCTTGAAAATGTTTATTTTTAGACAATGTAACTGTTTTGCGAATCATCATGAGGTTCTTTGTTTAGATTTATGGATTGATATATTACCAGTGGTAGAACAAGAAAGTGGCCGAGGAAGATACTCATTACTCATAGATTTTTACTAAACTCTTTAATATCATATAATACACTCAAAATTTTGCCCCCTATATTTAACTAATTTAATATTAAATTAATAATAATATTTACAATAGTTTTTAATTTTTTTTAAGGAAATCAAAGCTTAAACTTAAATATTCGAACTCCTTAATTTTTAATTTCGCCATTCCTTTTCTTAAATTCTTATTCTGTCATATATATCATCATGTTATTTGATTGATACCATTATGGCAGCCATGTGTTCATGACATACGCTTTTATGTTACATGCTAGATTATTCAAAGAACAGAACAAGTCAGAAACTTAAAATTAAGACTTCGCTTTCGGGAAGATGCAATAAATGCACTTGCTTCTGCAAAGCTGTCGCCGGATATACACATTTTGCAAGAAAGAGAAGCACTTCTAAAAGAGTTAGAAGTCTTTCGCAATCAGGCTGATCGTAACTCAGAAGTGACTAGATTTGCAATGGAGAATATGCAGCTTCATGAAGAACTGAGAAGGTATTCTTGTTCTATTATATTATATTTCAAGTTTGCTTATTTTATTTTATTTTATTTTTTTCTTATTCTTTCTTATCGGTTTGCGGAAGGATTGGAACTTCATACTATTTTTTAGAAGTAATTTTCTGGATATTATGTTACTTTTACCTGTTATTCAGATTAAAGTCTTTTGTTGAAGAAGGTGAACGAGAAACGATGAATGAACAGATCACTGTCTTGCAGGACAAGGTTTGAGCGCAACCTAATAGAATTTCCTTGTTTTACCATAACAACTTTCACTAAATATGCCTATAATCTGCAGCTTCTGGAAGCTTTGGATTGGAAACTCATGCACGAGAAGAATTCAGAGGTGCGTTTAGTTTATTTATTACAGTAAATTCGATCTTATGATAGTACTAAGTTGTTTTTTCTACTTCTGTTTTAAAATTTTAAGAAAGATCCTTCTAGCTGGTCACCTATATTTCCCTTGTCTCTTGAGGTCCTTGAAAAAGTGGCATCTATATTTTCCTGACAGGATCACCCCTTGTTCTCTTGGGATTCTTCTGTAAACGAGGAAAATGAATTCCTCCATTTAGAGGTTGGTGGTCCTACATAATCATAATTGAATTGTCTGCTGGATTATATATTTATATTTATATTCTTTCCACTTAGAGGAATGTTTCATAACTTCTGTAGTTTTATCTTCCTAGTTTATTTCTTGAGAGTCTCTGCGTTTATGTGATCAGGCTATCCAAAACCAGAGGGAAGCAGAAGCACTTCGCAAGAATCTGACAGTTTGTCTTGAAGCCAAAGAAAATCTTGAGAGGTATAGAGATATTGTTCCCGAACAATCTATATGCTTTAGGGATATTATGTTAATATGCATTGATAAGGTAATATACTTGTTCTACATGTTCCATACAAAAAAAAAAAAAAAGAAAGGCTCTTTGACGTTTTTATTTCTGTTGAACTTCTATTCTTAGTTTTCCAATGTTAACTGGATTTAGAAATTAAAGTTTTTTAATTTCTTAACCATTTAATATCAAACCTTTTTTCAGAAATAACGAGCTGAAAAGTGCCATGATATAGCTCTACATTAAATTTAAGCCACCTAATGCTACTGGATTATATAAAAAGACTCATCGGCTATGATCTTGAAAATGACATCATTTTGAAATTTGAATAGAGATACAATGAAAAACTTATGAAAGGACTAGAATATTTATTTACATGATACTCGAGATGTCACTACATTAATTTAAATATATTGCTCATAAATAATCTTTATGACTCACAATTTATGTGTCATGGACAAATTTATAGGCGTGTGGAAGAATTGATATTACAGCTTGAAGAACAAAAGAATGTTGAAAATCAAAGTAAAGAAAGTCATGTGGTATCTGATGATCCAATGGAGCTTAAAACACTGGTAGACGTAATTGCGGTAGCTAGTCAGCGTGAAGCTGAAGCTCATGAAACAGCCATCACGTTGGCGAGAGAGAATGATGAATTACGTATGAAGCTTAAAGTTTTGATTGAAGAAAACAAAAAATTGATTGAGCTGAATGAGAACAGCGTGGTATACTTCCATAGAGACCAACCAGAAGATAAAAAGGCTGATAATCTGGAGCACCAACTTAACGAGATACTTGAAGAGAATGAGAAACTGATGGGCTTATACGAGAAAGCCATGCAGGAGAGGGATAATTTCAAAAGGATGCTGGCTTCTTATGAACTAGCCAGAACTGAAATTGGAGATGAAATTAATTGCCCTGAAAAACTTGTTGAAGTTGATGAAGAGAGAGTTCATCTTAAACAAAATGTAAGGGAATCCATTGAAGAGCATGTAGAGCATGAAGTATCAGAAGAAAAGCTAAACCTAGTAAGAATTAAGCTTGACATGGTTGAGGATAACATTGCACCTACTGGGAAAGTTCTCAACTTTTCATTTTTGCTTGAGAGAGCAGCTATTGAAATACTGGCAATTGATAATAGTTCTAATGATGAGAATCACAATGTTATGCTTAAGAAGCAGGAGATTACAACGCTTGGTTTAGGTCTATCGGACCTAGAGGAGAGGAAAACAGTCATTGGTAACAAACTTTTGGCTCTAAAAACAGCTTTGCGGAGCCTTTCATCCAAGTTTGATTTTTGGCAAGAAAGAGAGATTAACGGTAAGTTCAGATATGAATCACGCCTGGCATCTTTACAACAAAAGAAGGAAGAACGGAGACGCCTTCATACCCTTAGAAATGAAATGAATACTTCTTGTATGAAGGTGAAGCAGTCTGAAGTTGAGCTTGGCGGCAACATTGATAGGTTGAAGATGCAATTCCAAGTTACAGAGGCTCAGAGAAAGGAGAGTGAAAGGGTACTGTTTTCAATCGATAATGTGGAGCGAAGCACCACTTCTGAATCAAAGACCTTGAAATTCTGTAAAGCGACTGATTTGCTCAAGTCTGAAGAGGAGAGAACTAAGATTGTTTCTGAAATAAAGAAGCTCAAGGAGAAGCTGGTGTCTGCACACAAGGAAATGGAGAAATTGCACTTGAAATCCAAATCTCTTGATACTAATATTGAAGAAGTTGAGGCAGGGATTGAAAGCGAATCAATTTTATTACACGAAGCACTGCTTTCATGGCAGAGAGTTGGAGGAGAGAAGCAGATGCTCTGCAAGCTGATTGAGGATGGGATGACTGAGCTTGGAAGGATTTTAGTTGACTATCAGGAAAGTATTTTTGAGCTGGAGTTAAGGAAAGGTGAGATACTTCTGTATGAAGATGAGCTGATTCTTCAAATGAGGGAAATGGAGGAGGTGAAGATTGCCCAAAAAGTGGCTTTAGAGAGTCTCCGCCAGTTAATGGAGGATAGCAGGTACAGCCCAGCTGTGAGAGATCCAAATGACTGTTCAAATTTCAGTTCAAACAGTTTAGAAAAGCAATTTGGGGAAGCACTGAAGTTGCTGTCTGATGTCAAGCTTTTGTTATTCGGGGACGGGGACAAATAGTATGTGAAATTTTGCCTTTCTTTTGATAAGATTGACATATTTTTCTTGCATCTCTGGTCTTAAAGATGAATATAAAAATTTGCAGAATTGGACAACATAATTATTGGAGAATGGTAATGCATGCTTATTACCAATCTGGAATGAATGTCCTTTTGTGTCAATGTTTTAAGATCCTACGAATTTTATCTTTTAAACTTCCATAATTTTTTGTGAGATACTATTTTTTTAGGCACTTTTTAATTTAAGCATGTAATCTTAAATCTGGAATTTTTTTTGCTTATTCATATTCATATTCTTTTGTAGAATATATTCAACATAATTAAAACAAAATTATATTCTTATGAACATTTCTATTCTTTTGCAGAATATGTTCAAAATGATTAAAACAAATTGATTTTGGTGTGCTCGTATGCGCGAGTTTACAGCAAACAAAAGTATGCAAACAATGTTTGTTTATGATTTTTTTTTTTAGTTTTAAAAATATAACTGATTAGTATATTTTAAAAAAAATAAAAAATAAATTTAAGTTTTAAAATACTCGAAGTGCTAAAAAAAATTAGTATTGTTGGCCGTCATTTGCAATCATCAGTTTGCTGGTAACATTAACAATCCTTGTGGGTGATCATGACCTATGCACAATTTATAAATATATTTATGTATTTGCATATCTAAATCAAGTTTTGATATTTACAGTTATAATGGTTTGCACGATAATATAAATAAGACTCCTTTTATCGAGAATATTCTTGGGTATCCTCAAAATACAATTAACCAGATGAATATGATTTTTTGGAATTGCTCTTGACCCCATAACAAAAATATTCTTTTTGGTTCTCTGGTTATGACTGTTTTATGTAGGGATTTTTATCGTAGATAGTGTGTTTCAAGCTCGATCCGATCTTGTTTGGGCATATACTCTCAACCTATCTCATAAGGATTTCCTTATACATAAGTCTTCCATGTTTCTTTTTAAAATTTGTTTCTCTATTTTCGTCATATATCCCGTCTTTTCTGATTTCTCTCATCTTCAGATCATTCTATATAATCCAAGAGCAAAATTTATTTAGAAAAGAGAATCATACAACGACAACATATATAAATAAGCTCCCGACTCCGAATTTTTTAAAAAGAACCAAAAACACCAGGCTTCAGCAAAACTCCTCACATTCTTGCTCGAATGGCTCTTGATCCCCTTCCCTCGAACGTTCTAACCCAGGGAATTTTTATCCTCCTATAAAGGATCTCTCTAATTCCCATAAGAGGCATGGGCTAGGATTGCTTCCCATTCCCCTGGTAAAGTAGCTTATCCAGAGGTTAAGCAACGCTAATGACAGATTTCAGGGGACCACTGTATAAAAGGGTCGTGAGCTAGGTAAACTGATAGTCACGCCCACACCTCGACGTAATTATGTCGGGCACTCGATTAGCCTGGCGTGGCCAAGCCTAAACTGGGCATGATCACACCAATTAAAAGATGTCACAACCGTTAGAGGCTTTGGGCGTGGTCACTCTTTTCGTTCCATTCTTTTTTTATTTTTGAAATAATCAGTTTGTCTATCGTTGTATATTTCACTTTTTCAAATAAGTCTCTTATGAATAATGTGAAAGATTAGGAGAAGAGAGAAAACTGGAAAAACAAAACATACAACAAATGCAGACAAACAAGAGAAAAAACGTAGAGAATTTTCGAGTGACAACCCTCGCGAGGATAGATCAAGCATGTGCATCTGAATTGGATCAAATTAAAACAACTTGTGTTGAATATTCGCGAAAGAATACCTGGGAAAGCTACTCACAACCAGAGATTCAGTTGTGTTTGTCCATTTCGGGGTTCAGATTGCTCCTAATGAGACATGCCCCACTTGGTTAATTACATTTTGAGGGTTGCTTAAGAATACTCTTGATCAAAAGAAGTTTGCTTATATTTAAAGTGAAAAATAACACCTGATTATCAAAGGGTTGTTATTTTGCAAGAGAATATCCCGATGCTTTCAAACCTCCTGCTAAGCCACGTGACGGAGAATGGGTCTCTCAAGGTCCTACATGGGTAAGGAACTCATTGAAATACGGGGCCTGCGAAATAACCTAATCATCATAATGGGGAATCTCAATACGTCAAAACACACTCAGGCCATAAAAGCAGAAGACAAATCGTCCCAAACGAGCGACAACTCATCGGCAATCGGGCTATCAAGATGATATTAAAGACAACAAAAGGAGCTACAGGGCTCAAAGCGAGCATTCAATGAATGGGAGTAATGATCCCTAAAATGTATAGATAGCCAGTTCGAGGCACCACGAAATCTTCATCTCAAGTTACTAGGACTCTAAGTCTACTTGATCGTGAATGTTGTTGACCCAACACGTCCAAAGATCACATGTCAACAATCCGTGAATTGTGTCATCCACGGGGAGCTTAGCAGCTCTAAAGTCAAAAGAACAAAATTCTATCCTATGAATATTAGGCGAAGCTCCGAGAGGTGAAACTTTTACCCGTTGAGATGCCAGAGATGTCGCCGGAGAGAAAAAGAAAGGGAGATTCAGGTATAAAGCTGAAAACACTCCCAGCGATGAGACTTAGGGCCCGTTTGGGGCAGCTTATTTGGTGTGGTGGCGTTTTGAAAACGCACCTGGTCTGTTTTGATAAACTGCGTATTGACAATTTATGCGTTTTCAAAACGCAGAAAACAGTGTTTTCACACCGCACCTATCTAGGTGCGGTGGGAGCTTATTGGCAATGGTCTGACTTTTCCAAAAAAATAAAAATTTGCAATAGCCACCGCATCTAGCTTATCAACATATTATTTTAATCAGCTTATCAATAGATTAATCAATAAGCTGCAGCTGCCCCAAACAGACCCTAAAATCCACGTTTGGGTCGAGGAAGTCACCAACACCCTAAGCGCACCAGACAACTACCTAAATAAAAATCTATGTTGACCGAGTCAGTGAAGCCCAAAAACTTCTTCTCATGACATGCAGAATGATGCAGTTATCTATTCAAGTTCTGATGTGTGGAGATCCTGTTATATGACTATGGATATGGTCATGCATACAATCCATTTTAAAACCGGTCCGAAGGCTATGTAAGAAAGTAAAAGCAGGACTTAAAAGTTTTAAATCTTCTAATCTTAAATTTTAATTCATCTTGAAATTTTTCTTAGGATTTTGTAGAAAATTTTTATAAATTTAAGTCCTTAGAAATCTAAGGTTAACATTGAATTCCCAAAAAAAAAAAATCAAATAATAATGAAACCATTTTTAAGCATATAAACATGCAAGAAAAGATGTAAAACTAGTTAAATATAAAATAATAAAAGGTCGGGTACACTGGGTTGACAATATGTCCCAAAAATAGAAAAAGATGTACAAACACAGCAAAAGTACACGTCTGGTCCTAATTCTATACATCAATGTAATTTAGAATTAAGGTATGGGACACGACCAAATAGCTTTTGGTCCCCGTCACGTGGTTTCACGCGTCTGATATCTCAAAACCCGTGCTTGTATCTTATTTTTAATACAAGACTCTCCTAAGGACTCTAAAAAGTGCATAGGAAAAAGAAAAAAAAGATTCGGCTTGCAAGGAAACAACGTTAGCAACAAACCCAACAAACATAAAACAAATATGAACACGCCTGGTAGGAGCTAAGCAGCGCCTGCAGAAAAAGAGCTAGTCATAATTATTACATTGCTCCTCCCTATTACACGTGCAGTGTGTATTTTAGGCATCACTCCCTGCAAGAAGACCGACCTAAAATACTAACATGCATGTCTCAATGATAAACATGCAAGTACGCCAAAAACACAAAAAGCGATGTCTTATTAGGGTAACCAAACCAATGGAGAACTATAGTCAGGACATCGAAAAAGAATACATAGCATCCTAGTTTTTAGCCTAGCGCGCTATCTAACGTAATGTTCTAACACAATCTAAGTGAGTGCAGGGTTATGTCAGTGAGTTGGCAGATGTTTCGATGGAATCGCCGTCTCTAGTCTCATCCTAAGGATCTAAGAATTTTAACAGGTGTCAAGGTATATAAGTTTTGCAAAAGCTTTTAAAATTTTGATCTCAATTTCAAAATAGATTTTTAAAAACATGATGCATAAAGTAATAAAAATATAAATTTTTATACTTTAAAATAAATTCTAAGGAAAGAAAAACCAAAGTGGCACCCATTAGACCCCTTGAAACTTTAGCACACCAATACAATAGCTAGTATTGCACGCTGAGACATCCTCACAGGCAATACAAGTAGTCATGTTGTGACTAGCAAGGAGAACAAAATCTACGATCGGGGATGCACATGCGGATGCAAAGTGATCCAGCGCACTGCCACAACTTCATAGAGGCTGAAGCGATCACATGAGAACAGATATCTGGCGCACACTAGTGACAAATATGTTAACAGTGCAATGATGCACATGCAAGACACATAGCATGAGGTATTATGTTTGGTCACCTAGTGGATAGGACGCCACTTTAGAGAATTACACCTCGTCCTAATAATGACCAAACACACATGCAAATAACAAACACATACATGGTATAATGGACCATGCAAGCAAGCAAACAAACAAACATGTCTTATGCGAAGAAACATGCTCGTGAAAGTGTAATGTGTTGTCACGAGAGCAAACATTCGTTACCAGTATACGGTGGTGTATATCAATGACAAATGCGCCGACAGTGCAGTAGTGTGCAAGCAAACATACAACACAAGTGAATATGAGTATGTGTGGAGGTAGTGACTTGGATGATGGATGTGCTGAGGAGGCAGTGACCCAAAGGGGTGGGTTTGCTGTGGAGGCAATGACCCAGAGAGGTGGATGTGTCGTTAAGGCAGTGACTTGGAGGGTGGTTGTGTTGTGGAAGCAGTGAGCCGTAGAGTGTGTGTGTCGTAAAGACAGTGATCCGGAGGGTGGGTAAGTTGAGGAGGTAGTGACCTAGAGGGTGGGTATGTCGTGAAAATAGTGACCTGAGTGTCTGCGATAGTCCGATGCAGAGCTGAAGTAATTCTCGCTGAGGATAGTTACACACCGAGTAGGCTTGATGTGCAAGTCGTCCAGTCATATGTTGTGTGAATGTGCGAGAAAAGTGTATGAGGACACAATCCAAATGCACACAACTTCAAACATATAAGTCATAAATATGCAAGATGACATACAAACAAACACATAAGATTGCACAAGTGTAGATGCATACATACATAATCTGATGCACTGT